ATATTCAATAACAGTCTTTATAGAGCAACCAGTTACGGAGCTTGTTTAGTTGCATCAAAACATATAACAATATATGTTGGGATAGTATTGATATCAAGTCTAAGGATCATACATATAGTTATCACCATGAGCAATGTTATGACTATGACATAATAATCCAAGACATATGCTCATGGTCGGTCAATCCAATACATTGTTCTCTAACAATATAATCATGTATCAATTCTGACATCTCTATGTCAATGACAACTCGTTGTCATCAATCAATAATATGTTAGTCTTAAGCGTATTATTCTTGTCCATGCCCATAATAATACTTGACTAGGGATATTTTAATAATAACTATTATGTCATTATTTGGACTTTATTATCTTCCAGTTTATGTTAAACACATATATATAAATGAAAATAATAGTGGCAATGCCTTTATTCAATAATATCGGTAAATAAAAGTATTATTACAATCATCATATGATTGGTCTTTGGGCATACTCTAACATATACTTAATCTCCTACTTTTAGAAATCTTTCGAGCTGGTTTGTGATCTTCAACTATTGGCTTCAGCATCGAATCTTCTTGAGTCCACCTTGTTATCTCAGCAGGTAGGTATCTGGTTTGTCACCTTAGTAGGTAGACTCTCTCTTGATGCTACTCGATTTACGTAGAGCATTCTCAAAATTCTTCCGATCTCAGTGAAAGGCATTGTTGTGGGCATTGTTTTTCAAGAACCTTCTAAAAGATTAGTTATTTAAGGGATCAATAGCTTTGAATGATATGTCATGTCCATGCAAAAATACAACAAGACCAAACAAAAGGAAATCAATGTTAGTAGAAACAAGACAAAAAATCAAGTTAGTTGAAATGATTAGTCAAAGAAATGTAATCTTAGTAAAAATAATTAAATATGACGCAAAGTTGAGACTAAAAAATAAAGCATACAGAGGAAATTAATAATCCTAGCTGCATGCGTTCTAGTTCTCCTAAGTTATTCACATGGCTCTAGCGGGGTAGATTTACTAAATTCTCTAAATGAGGCTGGGTTCTAGCAATGGATTCCCAATCTATTTTTATAACCTGCTAAGGTTGACTCCGATTCTGGCCCATTACAGACTTGTGAATCGAATTCTCCTTAGGGGATCACACCACTAAAAGCGTACCTCGGATCTGATATTCAGATAGGCAACTTAGGATACTTTCCAGAGATACTTTGTCAGACCCACATAAGAAAGCCCAATGTTCCTCATGCGGTGTGACATTTCTCCCTACTTAGATAAACCGGGTTTGAGCTCGGGTTTAGAGCTATGATATGAAACAATCCTAAATATTCACAGAAGTGTAAGCATTAACCAGAGAGAAAATCTTTTTTATTTGAAATAACGTAATGAACTGTAAATTAAAATAAGATCGAACTCATAGTTTTCTAAAATCCTAAATATAGGGTAACCAACTAATGGCTTGACTCTCAATTTGTTTAAAAAAACATCCCCAGCAGAGTTGCCAAACTGTCGACACCGTTTTTCGCCAGGGTAGGGAAATACCGATACTAACTCAGGGGTTTTCTCTTTTGAAAGGAATTTTCGAAATATGAGGAGTCACCACCAATCATTTAAGGTGCGATTGGAACACCATGAAAACTGAGTGATTTTAATAAAACATTTTATTTTTATTAAAATATCGAGTTTTAGAGTCTGTGAAAATCCAGAAATCAGGATCGGGAGTCAATTACGCGTGGGGAAGGATTAACAGCCCCACAAGCGCCCAAAAATCAGTACCTAGTTGATTACCTTATATTTAAAATCAAAATTTGTTTGATTGTATTGTTTCTTTAAACCTAAGGCAATGTTCACTTATTAGAGAATTAATGGTATATCTCTCACAAGTATGCTCAGGGGGTGACTACTAGTGATTCCCGAAATAGGTCGACATCCTTTTCAAAGACCGATCTTTATTTAATTTGAAAATCATTACGGATGCAAAGTTGAAAAGGGTATTCGTTTATTGAGACCGATAGCATTCGCTCCCAAGAGTAAATACGGGAGATCAGCTATTGTGCCTAATAACCGAATATTGCATTGTTTTTAGAAAATCATGATGCAGTCTTTGAAAATAATGTCGACCTATTTCGAGAATCACCAGTAGTCACCCCCTGAGCATACTTTCGGGAGATATAACATTAATTCCCTAATAAGTGAACATTGCCTTAGGTTAAAAAAACAATGCAATCAAACAAATTTTTATTTAATCCTAATTAAGCTAAGGTAAATTAAAGGCTTTTTCTAGCTTAAGGTGTCAAATTATGAAAATTAAAGGACCTAAAGGCACAAACTTAGAAGTGTAGGTTCTAATATTAACCTTATTTGATTTTAAACCAATTATTGAATCAAATAACCGAGATATTCCGTAGAGCATTTACACGAGGGCCTACTCGAATTATCCTCTAAATTAATAGACTAGTTTGAAATCTAACCTAAAGTAAAGGTTATAACGTTAACTTAAATTAATTTTAATAAATATTGCTTCGAATAATTAAATTGGAACCTCGAGCAAAATCGAGGACCAAATTAAGAATTCACCTAATTAAAGGACTAAATGTGAAATCAAGCCTAAGATGGAGGCTCTAATGTTAATCTTAATTAATTATGTCAAAATTAAAACACTAATCGAAGTTCGGGGACTAAAAAGGTCAAGATCTAAAAGTACCAATTTCTAAAAGATCTAAAAGCCAAGGACCTAAATTGATAATTTCTAAAGTTGAGGACTAAATAATTACCCAAAAAACCTAATTATCTAAATTAACCTATTTAAAGAACTAAGCCTGACGTTTTTTTTAGAAAATATTAATTATTGATAAATTTTAAAATCGAGCAATCGATTCGAGTAATCGGACATCTTATACGAAAACTCGACTCGAATTGCTGCCTAGTGAAGCTAGAGTGTTATCCTAAATTCTAAGTTCGATTCGAGCGTTAATCTAATTTAAAACTAAATCTAAGAATTAAATTATGGAATATGAAACAATTAAGAAACTTAATTAAAAAATAAAACAATAAATAAAAAGCAGAAAAAACAACAATAAATAAATAAATAAAATAAACCTAAATATAAGGACCTAATTACATAAATTTTAAAATCCTAAATGTAAAGGGAATAAATTAAACATAAAAGGGCTAAATTAAAACAAATTAAAATTTAAAGCCTAATTCAAAATAAAATAAAACTAATCAGATTAGTGACTAAAACACAAAACGCGCATAATATACAGGGACCTAAGATAATTTTTTTTATTTTATTTAAGCCTAAAAAGTAATATGTTAAATAGAAAGGAAAAATTACAGAATCGAACCACATATATTTTTTTAAAAATAAATAGTCACTACACATGACTAAAATAAAAAAACACGGCTAACTTAAAGGGACTAAAAAGAAATTTCACCAAAATAAATAAAAATAGGCAAATAAAAGGAAAAATTACAGATTTGGACCCTATTGGGCTAAAATGTAAAAACATGCTAAAACTTGGGGGACTAAAACGTGAATAAACCAAAAAATAAAGCATGCATAGAAGAAAGATGAAATAACAGTTTTGGTCCCTGTAGGGACCAAACTACAAAAACACGATAAACATTTGGGGGTTAAATGCAATTAACCCCGAAAGTTAGCCTATAAATACCAAAGTTTTTTTTTATTTCATTCTAAAAAAAAAAAGAGTCTAAACTCTCTCCCCTCTTTCCCGACCGACAGTGTGACAGCCACCGGAAACACCAAAACTCGCCCAAAAACTCAACGAATGTATATCTACCCACCCCGAACCTAGCCCGAAGCCTAAAACAACCTAAAACGACCCTGAACTACGTGAAATCCGGCTGAAACCGTTCGACTACCATAGACTCCAACGACGCTCCGATGACCCAGGTATGATTGATTTACCCCCTTTTTATTTTTCGTATTATTTTTTCCGGCTAGCTGGGATCGTTGGTTGATATTAGACTAGGTTACATTCGATAAAAAACTTATTTTTATTTGGGCATGCAAATTTTTAGCAGAAGATCAATATTTTTTAAAGAAAAAAAAAATGAAATAAGGGTGTTTTAATCTCGTTAGAAGACCCTAAAAAATAAAAAAAAAATACTAGGTTGCGAAAATAACAGGACAAGAACATAAAAAAAAACAGAATATTTGAATATGATTAAAAAATAGAGGATGAATAACCTTTTGAAATCTCTATTATTGTTTGAACATTATTACAATATTTTTGGAGGATTTTTCGAATCCTTTTACAATGTTTTTGCATGGCCTAAATACCTATTTACAATTGGAAAAAAAATCATTGCTATTTTTGTTTCTACAGAGGCGTGTAGCTGGTGGTGGCCGGCGTGCTGGGTGCTTAACTGTGATTTGGGGGTGAAATTATAGGGATGGCAAACGGGTACAATTTCGTGGATTCCGCACCGCACCCGCTCCAATTAAGACGGGGATGGGTATAATTTTAGCGGGTAGTGGGCGGGTGTGGATTTAGAAATTGATACCCGTCGTGAGTAGTGGGTGGGTAATGGGTTTGAGTCATTACCCGCTCCGCATCCGCCCGCCCCGCATCCTCCTGCCCATCTAAATATCCATTAAATTTTGGACCATTATAAATTTAGGTGTAATTTTAGAGACTAATTTATAAATTCTAATATTGTATAAGATATAACATGTAATTTAACCAAATATTAGGGATATTTAGTCTTAATATGATCTATTCTTTAGTCTTAATCTTGTTACTGCGCCGATCTTTCCTGGTCTCCACTCTTCAGGTACGTTTCTTCTTCTTCTTTAATCTTTAATCTTTAGTCTCTATGCCTCAAATCTACAAAAAACCCAACTTTGATTCCTATATTTTGCTTGTTTCTCGAGCAGAAAAAATAAAGGAAAAAAGGCGTTTCCTTTATGTTCCATTTTTTGCTTTGTTTTTGCTGGTTTTTCATAAATCAAGAACCATTAATTACTTGCTCTTCAGATGGCTATGTTTCTGCTTTGTAATTCTTCTCTTCATAACTGGCTTATTTCTAATAGCACTTCACACTGGTATAGGAAAATAAACCTAGTATTTGTGTAAACTCCTATCTTTTCTACCTTGACCAGGGGCCTTCCTAGTCAAAGCTTGTCTGGAACTTTATCTCCATTGATTGGAAACCTTACTGAGCTACAGTCAGTGTAAGTTAATTGCCTTTGTTGATTAAGTTGCATATAAATTTAGCTAATCTTTTCATGTACTTTTGGGCTTTCCTTTTTTTTTTTGTGACTTAAATTTCCTGTATTTTTGTTAAGTAATTACTTGTTTGTTCTTTTTTCATGAGTAGGTTGCTTCAGAATAATGCTATTTTGGGTCCGATTCCAGCTACGATTGGGAAGTTAGAGAAGCTGCAGACTCTTGATTTCTCCAACAATACTTTCAGTGGCGAAATACCGATTTCCTTCGGAGACTTGAAAAACCTCAACTATTTGTAAGTGTCCATATTTTTTACTGTTTTTTCATCATATTCATCTCCCTGTTGAGTTTCTTTCTAGTAGCTCTGTTTCTTATATGTATTTACCCTTGTTCTTGCTGGACGTATCAGACGGTTAAACAATAATAGCCTTACTGGACCCTGCCCGGATTCTTTGTCACAAATTGGAGGTCTTGCTCTTGTGTATGTATCTGGACACGTTTATCTTTTATTTTGATGTCTTGGAATTTGCAAATGCTATTTGTAATGCCTTAAGTTTACCTTGTTAATGTTCTTTATGTTGTTTCACTCGCCCGTCGTCTATAAAAAAATGTTTTTATAGGGACATGTCTTACAATTTTAAAGCTCTATCTACCTTGCTTTTGTTAGTGTTAATTAGAGTATTTTGGCATCATTTGATGATTTGGTTAGGATGTTTGTCGAATCTATACTATTTTGTTTGATATGAAGTAGGAAGAGCTAAGTGACCAGCTCAAATGTTGAACGTGGAAGTACAAAAGAACCAGTAAGATCATAAAATTTGAAAGGGAAAAACAAAGGATAATTATATGTTTAAACTTACTATATATATATATTTTTAAAAAGCCTTATTTCTAAAAATAGTTACTTATTTTTCCGTTTGTTTTATTATATTTCTTAATGGACATGTTTTTTTTATGTTTGTTGCTTATGTATAACTTAAGTTTGCTTTCAGGCGGGTCTAGAAAGGTACGTCGCTAGTGGGTAGTGGGTGTGGGGATGGATTTGAGAATGTACCCGCGTGGGCGGGTATGGATTTGAAAATTTGTACCCATCATGGGTGGTGGGCGGTTGGTGGATTGAAAAATATTAGGTGGGTATGGGGATGGGGGAGGGGGGTATCCGCACCCGACCCGCTCGTTTGCCATCACTAGGTGAAAATGGTGGTTGTTGGTTGGGGCAGAAGAACTGTGGAATCTGGTTGGGGGTAAAAAAAGGTGAATGTTGACTGGGGATGAAAATGGTGCACGTCAATTGGGGGTTTGGGGGTTAGTTGGACTCGGGTCGGGTCTAGTTTGGACCTGATTCGAATTTGATTTGGGGGTTAGGTTTTGGGTAGTTGGGCTTCGGGTTTAAAATGTAAAAGGGTTTGTTTTTTTATTTGGGTTTTAGGTGGTTAAAAATGGTGCTCACAATATGATTGAATAAAAAATTAAATATATTCAAATAATATTATATCAATGAAAATTAAATTATAATACCTTGATTCAAATTCATTTAGACCGTCTGATCGGAATGTTTATAGTTGATATATGTTGCTGATGCATATAGTCACGACTTAAAGAATAAAATGAATAAATAGCCGAAAGTATGGAGTGATTAAAAAGATCAAGGAATAACAAAGTGTTGTATTTAAAAATTGAGTTAACAAATATATTAATATATTGATACTTCGTCCAAAAATCATAATTATTTTATTAATTTACGTGATCTATCAAACTAAAATTTAATAAATGAATACAAGATCTATTTAGCAAGCTGATCACGAGTAGTTAAAATTATCTTTTGTATAACAATATGAGAGAGTAGTAAAGTTCTGAAGTGTTTACTTTATTCCTTTGTTCTTTATTCTAATTTTATTTGTGCTAGTTGTCTCTCATGGTGGCTAGTAGCCACGATCGTGTTTGTATTTTCATATTATTGTGGCATGAGTGGTAAAATTGGTGTTAAAGCTTCCGCATCCTTCTAAGCCTTGAGTGCTTGATCCAACCTTTGGTTAGTTGGAGTTCTCACAATGCGTGGTTTTAAGGCTTATTTAGACGCACAACCAACTAAGAAGCATCCCAAAAAGTCTAAGGCCGAAGGTCCCGCTAGACCGAAACTCTAGAAGTGTGACAAGTGGTATCAGGTAGGACAATTATAAATATCTCTTTAACTATAACTAAAATGAAGGGATCTTTTCCATCTTTTCTCCTTTCTCCTTTCTCCTTCCTTACTCTCATCTACCCTTATGTTTTCACATATCTCACAAAAAAAATTGATCAATGATCATTATATTATCAACTTTTACTTTTCGCTCAAATCAAAGAATATAAACCACCAACTAACGAGATAAGTTTGTTTCCATCAACATATATCACCATAATATCAAAAAATGAATTGTTTTAATATGATTCCAATGGAAAGACTTGATTTCTTATAACAAATATTTTTCACATTAAAAAAAATAAAGCAGAAAGGTGAAAAGAAAAGCATTCAATTATGTTATTGAATCCATGCTTGGTATTACAGTAACAAAAAGGATAAAGTATTATATAACAAATAATAAAAGTGGATTATTATAAGGATGATTGCCAATATTTGCCTACCCAAATCGTGTGGGAGGCGTGTAAAATGAGATAATTTAATTAATTTATTAAGTAGTTACATAAAGGATAAACTCAATAGCAATCTTTGACCCATTGACTCCACAAACTTATTAATGATTATGATTTCAAACACGATATAAAATAGGGTAAACTTCATTATATACCATCAAACTTTAGATATTGAATCTTTTATACCACCAAACTTTCAAGTTTGCCAATTATATCACTGAATTGTTAAATCGTTAACGGCACGATGACGTGGCTGACAATTGCGACTGTGACTGACAGCTATTGACGTAGACACCTCACCAAAACAAAATTGTTTTGATCCGACTGTGAATGATTTAACGATCCAGGGGTATAATGGAAACAAAAATCAAAGTTCAATGTTACAATTGACAAAATTGAAAGTTCAGTGCTATAAACGATACATCACCTAAAGTTTGACAGTATCTAATGTAGTTTACCCTATAGAATACAATAAGAAAACAAATATATTCGATAATAATTAATAAATATAATATAAAAAATATTTTATATATAAAAGATTTTAACTCCATTAATATATTTGTTTAAAAATCATTTAATATATCTAAATAATTAAGAATTTATAATTTTAAACTTTAAATAAGACGAATAACAATATTAATGCAATCCATTCAAAGAAGAAATATTTTTTCAATTGTTAATACATAAAATAATAATTTATAGGGTAAAGTACACAAATAGTCCCTCAACTATGTGGTGATGATTTGTTAAGTCCCTTGATTATTAAAAGTTACAAAATGGTCCTTCGACTATAGGATGTTGCTTTGTTGAGTCCCTTGACTATTAAAAGTTACAAAATGGTAACCCGACTATTTAATATGTTCCAAACTCGTCTTTTTTCGATAAAAAAATTGATAACATTCTGAGCTGGATGTTAAAATGTTGTCTTAGATATGATAGTTTTTTTAGATTATGAGATCATATTTTATCAAATCTCAGTCATCAAGTTAACATCCAACTCAGACCGTCATCAATTTCTTAACAAAAAAGGACGAGTATAGAACATCCTAAATAGTCGTGTTACCATTTTGTAATTTTTAATAGTTGGTGGATTCAACAAAGCATCTCTTATAGTTGGGAGACCATATGTATACTTTACCCTAATTTATAATATAATACATTTAATATAAAATATGATCATTGAGGTCGGGAAAGGCCAAAAAGACACCCGTCTTTGTCCACTCGTGGGACATTAGAAAAGGGGAAAAAAGTAATTTGGCTGTGAAAACAATACTGATAGTTGGGAAGTCCAAGTACAGCTTCGAACCCAGCACTTACATTAATTTTTTAATTAAATTATTAATCAAAGATTAGGACGAACGAGAAAGTTAATCTTATATATTTATTTAATTTATTAATTTATCTTTAAGAGTTTTAGAATTTTAATGATTCTTTTATTAACTATCTATATTTATTTATTAATCGATTAATTTACATAAAATATTATAAAAATCTATTATAGTGACGATTTTTTTTTAATTTATTTATAATAATAAAATTTAAATTTATATACTTATTTAAAAGACTTAATATATTATCTCATTATAGGGTAAAGTATATAAATGGCCTCCCGACTATAAGATATTATTTTGTTGAGTATCTGACTATTAAAAGATACAAATTGGTTTCCTGACTATAGAGAGTTACTTTGTTGAGTACCTCGACTATTAAAAGTTACAAAATGGTCATCCGACTGTTCATTATGTTCCAAACTCGTCCTTTTACGTTAATAAATTAACGATCATCTGAGTTGGACGTTAACAAGTTGACTGAAATATGATAGTCGCTTAAGATTATGATATCATATTTTATTATATATCAGTTAACTGGTTAACGTCCAACTCAGATTATCTTCATTTTTTAACGAAAAATGACGAGTTTGGAACATAATGAACAATTGGGTGACAATTTTATAACTTTTAATAATCGAGAGATAAAACAATGCACCTCCCTATTATCAGGGACCATTTTATAACTTTAATAGTTGAGAGACTCAACAAAGTATTATCTTATAGTCAAAAGACTATTTGTGTACTTTACCCCTAATTATATTAGATTAATTCATTGATGGTCGAGGTTTTGGTGATTTTTGATGACATCATTTGTCTAAAGAAAGGGAACATTGTTTGGATTTTTGTGAGTAGTGCCCAACAGCACAAAAGTTTGATTTTAATCGCAAGATTAATGATTTCACCTTCTTGAGGGATATTTTTACAATAAATTATATATTTAGTCATTTAACTATTTTTATAATTATGTTTGAGCCATCTAATTATTTTTTAAAATTATATATATCATTATATTTTGGTTTCATTCTGGTCATACATCATTAAAAAACTAACATAATTACTAATATGTCATTTTTTTAAAAAAATTCCAATCATGATGTATTATTACCTTATGATGACCCATCAATATAACCAACAATTTTTTTAACAATGGATGACCAAAAACGTAATGTCAAATATAATTTGAAAAATAGTTGAGTGATCAAAATAGAATCGTAAGAATAATTGGATGTCTAAATACATAGTTTCTCCATATTTTTTTTATCTAAATCAATTATTTAATACACCGATAATATAATAAAAAATTTTATAAACGGATGTAGAATTATGTTATGCATCCTTATAAAATAAAAAAAAATATATAAAAAGATTATATCTTTATGATATTTTTCTCATAATTATAAAGATTAATATATACTCCGTATTTATAGAATCTTATCACAAGAAAATTTTAGTTTTCAAACTTATATCTAATAAAGATTATATCTTATGATAACTTAGTCAAAAAAATATTTCATAT